TAACTTTTGACCCCTTTCACCCATTTTGGCTACACTCCCCTTACTAACAACCCCCCTCCTCTGGCGGCACCTATCTGTTCTCTGATCTATGAGCTCAGTTGTTTTAACTTTTAGATTCCAATACGTGTGAGATCATATAATATTTGTCTTTCTGTGTCTGATTTATTTCACTTAACATAATGGTTCATCCATGGTGTCACAAATGATAAGATTTCATTCTTTTTATGGATGAATGATATTCCATTTTAAGTATGTGTGTAAAGGATATACATTTTTCCTTCCTTTCTTTCTTTTTTAATGCTCCACATTTTCTTTCTCATTTATCCATCAATGGACACCTAGATAGTTTCCATATCTTGGCTATTGTAAATAATGCTGCAGTGAACAGAGAGGTGCATATATCTTTTCAAGTTAGTGTTTGCTCATCTGTTCTTGCATGCTGCCTATGTTCTCCATTAGAGATATTCATATCATATCATAGTTGTTTTAAATTCCCAGTCTGATAATTCCAACATCCCTGCCATGCATGTTTGGTTCTGATGCTTGCTCCAACTCTTCAAATTTTTTTTTTGCCTTTTGGTATGCCTTGTAATTTTTTTTCTTGATAGCCAGATATGATGTACTAGGTAAAAAGAACTGCTATAAATAGGCCTTTGGCGGTGTGGTAAATGAATTATCAGGAGAAGGGAACCATTCTATAGTCTATGATTATGTCTCAGTCTTTTTTTTTTTGTTGTTGTTGTTTTTTAAAATATTTTATTTATTTATTTATTCATGAGAGACACAGAGAGCGAGAGAGAGGCAGAGACACAGGGAGAGGGAGAAGCAGGCTCCATGCAGGGAGCCTGATGTGGGACTCCATCCTGGGTCTCCAGGATCACGCCCTGGGCTGAAGGCAGTGCTAGACTGCTGAGCCACCTGGGCTGCCCCGATGTCTCAGTCTTTTAGTGAGCCCATGCCTCTGGACTGTGAACTGCACAAATATTTCTTACTCTCTTCCCTTAGGTGGGACAAGATGGCTAGAGTGGGGTGGAGTTGGGTGTTCCCCTAAATCTGTTAGGCACTGATCTAACCCTAGCACGTTAGGCTATAGTTAACTAGTTTCCTCAGAGGGCAGGCCTCATTAAGAACAAGAGTGCTCTGGCGTTTTGAACATTTCAAAATGTTTCTTTTTCCCTCTCCCTACTGGAAGTGTGAGGGGATTTTTCTGATATTTACCTTAGGAACTTGGTCAAGCTTTTGGAAATAAATCTCACCAAATTGTGGGGCCCTCCCTATGACTGCATCCCCTTGGAATTTTAAACTCTGAGTTGTCTGCACTGGTCCTCTAGCAACTCATCAATTACAGTTCAGGTTTTCTTACCCTGGCACCAGTTCCTTAGTGTTTTCTGTTTTCAGACTTCCTGCTCTGATAACTCATAACTCTGTGTATTTGCTTGTCTGTCTTTCCAATCTTGAGGACAGCAGTTTGTCCTGTGTCCCTCCCTCTCTTATGGATCCAAGGTTTTTCAGTCTATTCAGCTTTTTTACTTATTAGGGTAGAGTGATGCATTCCAAACTTCTTGTATATGGAACCAGAAGTTCTAAGACCATGTTTGTTTATGTTATCTAACTTGTTTAAATACAATCATAATGACCAGATTTTAAACAAAATTCTATACTTAAGACTGAAAAATCATGCTGTTCATCTCTGTCATCTGCCAACTATGCTTTTTAAAATTTTTTTATAGGAACTTAAGTGAATCTACATTGTTTGAATGCTAAAATGTGATTTCATATTGATCTTAAATGCTGTTGAGTATTCTTTTTAATATTGGCTTTCTTAATGATTCTATGTCTTAAATTTAAGTGATTTTATAGCTTAAACCTTAAATTTCTATATCACAAGCTTGAAATATACTTTATTTGATCTTTAAGATAGAAAGATACTGTTAAACTGAATAGAAAATAAAGAAGTGTATGGGACTGGCATAACAGACATGAAGATCAATGAACTAGAGTTGAGAATAAAGAAATAAACCCATATGTTTATGATCAAGTGATTTTTTTTACAAGGATTCCAAGGCAATTCAATGGGTAAAAAGTAGCCTTTCCAAACAAATTGTGCCAACTTGATATCCACATGGGAAACAATGAGGTTGCACCCTTACCTCATATGTATATGAAAATTAGCTCAAATGTATCAAAGACCTAAATATAAGAGCTAAAACTATAAAATTTATCAAAGAAAACATAATAGTAAATCTTCATGACCTGGATTAGGTAGTGGTTTCTTAGATGTGACACCAAAAGCATAAGCAATTAAAAAAATAAATTGGAATTCATCAAAATTAAAAACTGTGCTTCAAAGGACATTATTAAGAAAGTAAAAACAATACACAGAATAGGAGTAAATATTTGCAAATCGTATCTGATAAGATTCTAGTATATAAAATATATATAAAGAAGTCTTAAAACTCAGCAACAAACAACCCAATTGAAAATGCAGAATAGCTTCATGAAGAAAAGAGCCTGGTCCTTCTACTTACTCTTTCTCCCTAAATGTAAAACCTGCTAGAAAGCCTCTGCAGGGTGATGGTGTTAGTCTCTTGTTTATTAAAAGAGATGGGACCTGTTGGGGACCTGGATGCAGAGTTCTGCTGGTACGGTTAAGTCTCTTGCTGTGTTCCTCATGACATTAGCAAGATGAATCTTTAATTCATCATTCAGTTGCCTTATATGTACATATCTTCACAGTCACTAGATGAGGCCAGGTGATATTTATTTCTATTCTTAGTTATATAAGCATATAATTAATAGGTTAAGTTAAAGGCTCTAAATAATGCCAAAAGGCCTTGAATCACTGGTTACAGTACACTAAGTTATTTAAATTCATTATTTAATAGCAAATTGCTAATGGATACATAAAAGCCTCTAGATGTTTAACAATCTTGATTAAAAGGGCTTAATCATGACTTTTTGAATGTTAAAATCTATGATTATAAAACAGTCTTTGTGAATAGGTTCTACTGAATTGTGAGCTTACCAATGAAGATTACTGATAATAGACAGTTGATAGATCTAATTTTTTAATTGAGAGAGAGAGAGAGAGTGAGTGAGAGAGATCATGGGGAAGGGGCAGAGCGAGAGGGAGGGAGAGTCCCATGCAGTCTCTGTGTTAAGCATGGAGCCCAATGTGGGGCTTGATGCAGAGCTTGACTTCATGTCCCCAAGTTTATGACCTGAACAGAAACCAAGAGTTGGTCACTTAACGGACTGAGCCACCAAGGTGCCTCAGGATTTATTCTTTTATATTTATTTTTATTTACAAAACTTACATTTTTAAAGTATCATAAATGCTTAAAAAAGAACAGTTAGGTATACATCAGGAGTGATAGAAAAGGAAATGATCTGCCACATAAGTTACAGCGATTTGACACCAGTAAATTTAAATAAATTCAAATAGAGTACCTAAAATGGAATTCTGAGCTACACATCTACCAAGTCTGTGGTTGAGTTGGCTCAACACAAGGTAAGAGAATGAAATGTAGCGCAATATGATTTGTCATTATTATTTTTCCCAAATGTTACCTACCTGGCAGTCCACTTCTGTGAAGGCAATTCCCCACAACCTAAGGCACAAGGCAAGATCTCTAAGTCTGTTAGATTGCTTTCTCTTCCCACATGAAATTACAAAAAATAGAATTAAGAATTCTGGAATTAAGAAATTACATTAAACTAGTGCTGCATTGCTTTTTTAACAGAAAGGCCTTCTAAGTTGACTAGGCATAAAAACTGGCTAGTTTTGAAAGGGACTTTGTAATTGTGGAAGAACATACAAATTCCTAATACCTCTTGTTAGTGAATTAATAGTGAGTGAATGTAAAGAAGAATAAAGATTAAGGAGAGTGACAAATGGGAAAAAATCATTCAGATTTTTTTAAAGACTTTATTTATTCATAGAGACAGAGAGAGAGAGAGAGAGAGAAAGAGAAAGAGAGAGAGAGAGAGGCAGAGGGAGAAGCGGGCTCCATACAGGGAGCCCGATGTGGGACTCGATCCCGAGTTTCCAGGATCATGCCCCGGGCTGCAGGCAGTGCTAAACCGCTGTGCCACTGGGGCTGCCCCTCATTCAGGTTTTTAAAAAAGGTCATGATCATTAATTTTCATGACATGAATGAAAAATAATCAAATCAACCTTAAGTCAAATCTCTCTATGTAATATGTATTTTATTTTTATCAGCTACATTTTAAAGAAATTATAAGCACCATCTTACACACAAGACTTCCAGCTTATGTGCAGTTAAAAACTATGTATTACATAGCAGCTTGCAGCAGAGTCCTATCTGGTACTCCCTGACTCTGCACTTCATCTCCCCATTGCAAGTAATCTGCTGGGGGCTCCTCCTGGATGTCCCCTCTCTGCTCTGTGCCCTGGAAACTCACAAAAGACAGTAAGCAGGGGCAGCTGCACAGCTGATCTCATTTTCTCCCCTTTTCTCAGGGATCACTGTCCTTCATTGCCTGATGTCCGGTGCTCTGACAACCATTGTTTCATATATTCTGCTCAGTTTTTTGGTTCTGTCAGATGGGATGGTGAATTCAGCCCCCAGTATCCCATCATGATCAGAAAAGAATCTTTAACTAGATCTATACCAGTTCAAAAAATAAGTTTCATTGGAGCCCAATTTCTTATCTATTTACTGAATCGATTATATTTCACATATATTATGTAATATTGCTCTATTAAGGGGAGGTAGTTAAATCACATTCAAATGTTTACACTAAAACATTTCACTATCTTTTGGAAACTACTTTTTCAGTGTCAGTTAAAGGGAAACTGTTATCACAAGATTGCTTTATCAAGAATCAGGAAGTACAATGAGATCAGCATTAGATCTTGAAAAATAGTGTTATGAGTAGGAGACTATATATATTAGGTACCTGACTGGAAAACATACTTGCCAGAATTGTCTTCCTGGATTAATTTGCTCTATTGAGCTTCTTCATCATTTGATGTGATGTCAGCTACTAATGGAACAATTACTTTACCACTAAGTACTCGCATTACTCTAGCATTTTTAATGAGCTTACTAGCTTTCGCTATAATGCTAGGAAATGCTGTGGTTATTCTAGCTTTTGTGGTGGACAAAAAGCTTAGACATCGAAGTAACTACTTTTTCCTTAATTTGGCCATTGCTGACTTCTTCGTTGGTAAGTTTCATGTCTTTATTTCAGATAATCTTTTCCAATTATAACTTCTTTCTAAAACCTTTAAATTAGCTTTTTTTTCTTTTTAAAGATTTTATTTATTATTCATGAGAGACACAGTCAGAGAGAGAGGCAGAGACACAGGCAAAGGGAGAAGCAAGCTCCATGTAGGGAGCCTGATGTGGGACTTGATCCCAGGTCTCCAGGACCACACCCTGGGTTGAAGGTGGCACTAAACCACTGAGCCACCCGGGCTGCCCTAAATTAGCTTTTAAAAAAAATAAACTTCTGTTATTTCAAGGGACTGTATAGAATTGGGGATGTTAATAAAAAAAGTTTAAGGATTAAAATTCTGAGGAAACTATATGCCACTTTAGGGGAATAGTATGTATGTGTAAATCAGGTTTGTAGGAGAATTTTCCTTGACAAAATTTATTTTCTTTTTATAGAATGAAAATAAGTCCAGAATAGTTCTAAAATTGCTTTAGTCTAAGATTTATTTGTTTCTGGAGCTATTTTCCTTGTATATTTAGGTTTATAAGTATATGTAGAAATGTCAGCTGATGGTATTGCTTTATAGGAGCTTCTAGTATAATTTAACTTGTCGTGTCTATAGCTACATAAATGCTTTAATTTATTTTACAGTGAGAAAAAAACCCTCATAAAATACTTACTTCGTTGCCTGGAACATAGGGTTACTCAACAAATGTTAATCCTCTTTTGATTTCTCTACAGATAGATGACAACTCAAACTAAGAAAGATCACAAATGATAGTAGATTACCTACCATGTGTAAGGACTGTTAAGTACTCAAGTATGATTAGATAATGACATATACAGAAGACTAAGTTAATTTCTTTCTTTGGTAAGGTTTCAATGTAGGAGAGTGGATAAGAGAATCTCACAAGTGACTGCAACAGTATAGAGTATGATACGAGAACCACAGGGACCCACCAAGTGCTATGGGCACTCAGAGGAGGGAGAAAGCACATATGGTTAGTGGGTAGAAGCATCTGAAATGAACTTCAGAGGATGGGTAGAATTTCCATAGGCAGAGATGGAGAGGAGTATTCTAAGAATCAGCAAAGACATGCTGGTAGAAAATCATCGTGTCCATCTTCCTAAGTGTGAGCTCCAGACAGGCTGTATGGGATCAATAAGGGATGAAGCTGGAGTAGTTGGAATCTATATAATGAAGGCCCTTGAATACTAGTGTGTCTGGACTGGAGGTTTTTCAACAGAAAATGTGAAGATCTGGATTTTTAAAGCAGAAGAGTGATCGGATGGATTGAGGCTTTACCTTGGAGGCATTAGCAGAGATGTGGCAGGTGGCAGAAGCCAGAGCAGGTGGCAGCTTGGCTTCGGAGACATTCCTGCAGCAATCTAGGCACAAGTCATATGATGAGGTTCTGAGCGACTGTGGGGAGGGTGGAAAGGAAGTTGGGGAGGCAGAGCTGCAAGGGCGGGGTTGGGCAGGAGATAAAGATTAAGTTCTAAGAACAAGAAAAGTATGGCATTATTTATAGGAATAGGGGGCATTTGGGAGGGCAGCTAATGCTTCTGATAAACGTCCTGGAGAAAACTTCTAGCTTGGAGAGATGGATGTGGAGTCACAGCATAGAAGGATCACAGATGAAGATGGTGAACCACATAGAAGTATTGGAAAAAAGCAAAAATCTCCCCATTTCTCTCCTCAATTCTGCCCCTTCAGGTAACCCACATTAACAACTTGAGGTAGATCCTTCCATATCATTTTCTATAATCACAGACACATGTATAACTATATGATTATATTTAATGTGAAGAGAATATTCGCTATAAATATACTTCTCCCTCTTTGCCTTCTTCACAGAATTGTACAGCTTTTAGATAATACCTAACACTTCAAGTTGATTATGTATTTTGACTAACTCAAACGGAGTGGCAGTAGTGAGAGATGGGGTAAAACTATACCCAACCACAAGAGCCTGAGGTCTGAAGCTTTTGAACAAAGATGGTACTAGATAAGCACAGAGGGTTTCCTGGTATGGCTCAATGGAAGCATCAGGGCAGCCCCACCACCATGTGCTTGGACACCAAACATAAAGATGTGGTTTGTCTTAGGGAAATATCCCTGCTGGTGTAGTTATTCAACACTCCTGAGGGTCTCCCTCCATTGGCAGGTGGATGGGAAAAGGAATGGCTTTGCAGCTGATGACAGCAGACACAAGCCAGAATCTTTGTTAATCTGCCAGTCTCCTCCTTGATATTTCCCTTTCCCCCTACCAGCTTCATCCAGAGGCCCACTTATTTAACAGTATTTGCCATGATGGTATAAGAAATTAGGACAGCCTCTGAGAACTTTCTCTAACAAGATTGGAGTTTGAGAGTTTGGTGTTGGGGCTGTTCTTTGTCCTTAGTCATGCTTAGCAGTGGGCTTTTTGGCTCTGAGCCTATGGGCTCATGATGGTGGTGCTGGGCCAGGGGAGAACTCAGGAGAACTTTCCTGCAGTTGTAAGGCAGAAATTCTTAGTTCTTTTGGTCAAGAGACCTTGATCTCCAGAACCACGTGGTGACAGCCTGGAGTATTGCATGTGCTAGGTATTGTGGGCTTTGGCCGAATGCCCTCTTCTCACAGGTTTCAGAACTGGCCTCTAATCGAAAATCTAAATTTGGGGCACTTGAGTAACTTTCCAGGCTGAATGTAATGTTTAGCAAAGATTTATTGAGAAGAAATTCCAGTACCAGCTACATTGATATAAATATATCTCATCTGCACACTCTTCCAGAAAAAAAAATACTATATAAGCAGATATCTATAAAATTGGTATCACATGACTATGTTTCCATCTATGGGTTCCTTCTTCACATCTACACGTGTGTGGGCACCTAGGGCCTACACGACCATGTGACAGATGGCCAGGCAGGATCTGCAAGGACAGAGATGGTTGGGGCCAACAGAATCTGAACTGTGTTTTACGAGGTCAGGGTTTATCTTTCGTCCCTTCATGCCTCAGTTCAGGACTCTTCTCTGTTGGTTAGCTTGGGCTGCCACAACCAAATGCCTGTCTGAGTGATTTAACAGCAATCGACTTTCTCATGGTTCTGGAGGCTGAGAAGTCCCAGAACAAAGTGCCAGCAGATTTGGTTCCTGGTGAGGGCTCTCTTCCTGATTTGCAGGCAGCTGCCTTCTCCATATGTTCTCATGTGGCCTTTCCTTTGAGTGTGCATGGAGAGAGCGAGCAAGTAAGCTCTCTGGTGTTTCTTCTTATAAGGATACAAATGCTGTTGGATTAGGGCTCCATCCTTATGACTCCTTTAACTTTACCTCCTTGTAGGCCCTATCTCCAAATGCAGCCACCCTGAGGGGTAGGGCTTCAACATGTGAATTTTGCGGGGACACAAATATTCAGTCCATAATACTCTCTATGCACTCACCATTGTCCACACATTCCCCTATTGGCCCAAAGAATTCACTGGGGTTTTTAGCTCCCTCCAACTTTTGATTGTCATTTTCTCATGGAAATTGTAGCTTCTTACCTGGTTTTGGAAAGAAGGGACAATGCCAGATAGTGGCAATTTTCAAGCAAATTGGGCTTCCCCATGCTCATTATCCAATGCTGGCTTATTTTGAAGTAGGCACTCTCTGAGGTACTGGGGGTATAACAGTGAAAATAGGGACAAAAACTCCCTGTCCTCATGGTGCTTCTATTTCTACTGGGCTGCTGGTGGTGGTGAGACATATAATAAATATAAATAAGTGAATAAAATTACATAGCATTTTAGAGGGTGGTCATTGTTAGTGTGAAAAACAGTAGGGAAGAGGGAGAGAAAGGGTGCTGGAGATGGAGTTTGCCATTTAAATGCCAGGGGTGGGGCTCACTGGTTAGGACACATCAGAGTGAATAAGAAGGAGCTCTAAAGGAAGAGCATTTCCTGCTGGGGCAAGTGCAAGGATCTGAGGGGTGAGTGTGATTGTATCTGAGGCAGGAGGATCTGGAGTGGAGGGAGTGAGGGGCAGAGGGAGTAGCAGGAGGTTAGACAGAAAGGCGGGGAGCAGGCTGGGGTGAGCAAATGGCCTGAGGTTTCACAGGGCTTTTCTTCTCATTCTTCTTTTTTCTGCTCTGCTCTCCTTCTTCCTTCACTTCCTTGTTTTTATTTTTTCACTGCCTTCTCTTAATATAGTTTGTTTTCCCTCACTTCCAACCCCCTAACCCCCTTAAACTGTCATGCTAAAGGTACATTGCTTTTTTCAAGAAACTGACTCTTAGTTTTGCTTATCAAGTCAATCTGACTCAGAAGCATGATTCCAGAGTGGCAGTTATAGAAACACTTCAGAGTGGGCGTATCCTAGAAATAGCTATGATTCAGTTTTTGAAACTGCTTTGGAATTAGCCACAAACATTGCCATCACTCAACAAGACGGAGGATCTAAGCATGACATTTGTGCCAAAATATCATGTAGAACATGAGGTGACAGCAGGGTTTTATTAAAGCCAGAGGATTGGCTATTTGAAACTGCTGTCTCAAGCAGCTCCTGAAGTTTTGAACACACCCAAACACACCCTTCCTCTTTCATCTAATTCAGAAAATGTGTGGACAAGATTACTGAACTCACACCCTCTCTTTAACATTGAAAGAGACAGTGTGTCTGTAATGCAAATGATTATTGGCCACTGTACTTTTTGTCATTCTGTGGAGGAAATAAGCATGTGTGTGTGGAAAATACTCAAGTTGGGAATATTGGAAGCCACAACTCTGGACCAAAATAGGATACATATCTCTGTTTTGAAGATACTTTGATTTATCTCAGGTGATTTATCTTAGGTACTTTGATTTATCTCATTTACCTATTTTATACCATAGGTGTGTGTATGCATGCATGCACACGCCCCTTTGAGATGGAAGGCCCCATAAATAAGATTGGTTATCATTAAAAATATAATCGAAGCATGAAACAAGCAGGCAAATTGAACTACATATAAGAACTGACCACAAAACTCTTCCATCTCGATGATGCTTTGTCTCTCATCTTTGTATGTGAACTTAGGTACAGAAAACTAAATTCTGCATTCCCTTTCACTGGTGCTGAAACCACACCATTATATCCTCATGTCATCTGGTTTTGGGAGAATGCAGGGTTTCCTTCATCCTTCTCCTTTCTTTTGCCTTTACTATTGTTATTCTTCATCGGTTAATTTGATTTTCAAATGAAAATAGGACATCTTGCCAAGTGCCTGATAAAATATGAAGTTTCTCACTGAGCTTCCTTCCTCTTAATAGATTATATTCTTAGTGAGTAGTGTCACTTGTCTGAAATGTCATCACAATGAAAAATTCCAACAAAGCTAAAGGAAAGGGAGCCCAGTTTAGTCATTTTTCATAATTAAGAAATTTCTGTGCAGAGCTGAACCACTTACATATTTGTTCACTCAGTGAAGTGCAGTGGTTAAAGTTGGGAGTTCTGAAATCACACTGCTTGGCTTCAAAGCCAATCTTCTGTTTACTAGTGGAGTGGACCTTGGGCAATTATGTCTTCATCTTGAGCTATTAGTTCTTTATCAGCGACGTCACCATGGTTTCTACCTCAGATAGTTTCTATGAACATTAAATGAGATGATATATGCAGCAGACATAGCATGATGTCTGGCATATGGTAACTGCACAATACATATCAGCTATTATTAACTTATTTAAGTTAAATGTATCAGCCATTGGTCAGCTCTCAATGTTGTGAAAAACGCAAAGATCAATTTACAACTGAGGTCCCATCTCTCAGGAGAAGTACATGAAAAGATGACAGAGATCCAAAATAGAATGTATTTGTACATGAGAGAGGGAGCGAAGAGCAAAGTGCCAGCACAGTGCAGGTGACAGAGGGGTTACTTCTGGCAAGGAAGTTCTGAGAAAGATGACAAGGAGGTAGTCATTTTTGTGAACTGAATGAAGAATGAGATGGAAGTAAATAGACTTTTCAGTAGAAGAGAGGAAGATATTCTAGGAAGAAATAGTGCTGTTGCCAAAGGACATGTGAAACTGTGGGCTGTGTTTGGGGGAAGGCTGGCCCATTCTGTCTGGGTTGGATCATGAACATAAAGATGACTCGTGCTGTATATGGCTGGAGATGCAGATTGAGACCTGAGCTTAATTTGGAAAGTAATAAGGAAACGTATGATATTTATAACAGCCATTGCAAAAATAGTATTTAAGAAAGAGAATAGTATTTAAGGAATGTGTAGGTAACCAGTCTTGAGTTTGTTAATGAAACACCATGAATTTCTAAATTATAATCAAGACAGTTTTAGTCAGTTCAGGTATGTCATTGTGTTGTATGCCTATGCCTCTTTGTATTCATTGATACATGCTTTTTTTTTGTTTTTTTTTTTGCCTTATTTTTCCTTGTACAGGTATGATCTCCATTCCTTTGTACATCCCTCATACTCTGTTTGATTGGGACTTTGGAAATAAACTCTGTGCATTTTGGCTCATTGTCGACTATCTTTTGTGTACAGCATCGGTGTATAACATTGTTCTCATCAGCTATGATCGATACCAGTCAGTCTCGAATGCTGTAAGTGAAAACATTAATTTACCTTCTTTAGAAGATTATGTACTTACACATTTTGGGTCCAAAAGGAAAACCTTTTTGCGTGTAGTTTTTTTGTTTAGTTGGCAAACCTTTGAGGATCCTGATAATCCTTCTGTTATTTGGCACTAAGTTTTCATTGGCCCTTAGAGAACAATTTCTGTGTGTGATTTGGCTAAGTCATTCACTCCTTTATATACCAGTCAAGTGGAAAGACATAAAAAAAAAGAATCCAAGGCAAGTTTTCAGAAGTGGTAGACTGAGTCCACAGTAGATTGGATATACATGAGAGTCACAGTAGGCTTATCAGTTCCATTGCTTACACAAACTAAGGCATGAAGATTTTCCTCAGGTGGAACCTGGTGGGCAAGCAGAAAGATGCCCAGACCTTTTTTTTTTTTTTTTAAAGATTTTATTTGCTCATTCATGAGAGACACACAGAGAGAGGTAGAGACACAGGCAGAGGGATAAGCGGAGTCCCTGTGAGGAGCCCCATGTGAGACTTGATCCCGGGACCCTGGGATCACAACCTGAGCCAAAGGCAGATGCGCAACCACTGAGCCACCCAGGCATCCCGATGCCCAGACTTTTGAATGTCATGAGAAAATAGCCAAAGGAAAAAAGAATATACAGAGAAGCTATAGGTCAGACAGTGGGACCAGCCTGGAAGATCAAGTCCCAAAGCCTGTGTAGGATCCATGCCAAGAAAGTCTGAAATGATGTAAGATTTGGAATAGCAAATGCTAAATTTATCAGCAATAGAACAAGGGGAAATACAAGGCAGATGCAAGTAAAGACAGAGGGTGACAGGAGTATAGCAATACAGACCAGTAATGTGAAGTCTTTGAGACCTAGATAGGAAACCTCCTTCACTCCCCTCAAATCTTTAGGGGATACTACTGTGTGATTTTGCTAAGTGCTGGGATAAGTCTCCACTTTTGAGGAGCACAACAGGCTAATGTGGAGAAAGATCTAAAAACAGATGGGTTCGGTAGAGTAGACTAAGTGCCATGTTGGAAGTATTGGGAGGACAGTGACAGCTCTGACATGGGAGGGCTGCACAGCTTGGAGCAGACAAAGGTATATTGCATAAGGCAAGGATCAAGTGCAGTAACAAAGATGAGACTCAAACAAGATCGAAATTTCTTTTTCTCTCACAGAACATTCCAGGAAAGCCTCTGCTCAGAAAATCATCTAGGAACCTAAGCTAACAGGGTGGCTCTGCACCCTCTAGGGCAGGGGTCAGCAAACTTTTGTTATAAAGGAACCTACGGTCTCTGTTGCAACTGCTCAAATCTACCATTATGGCACAAAAACAGCCATACATAATATGTTAAAAAATAAAAGGGAATGATTCATTCATTCTGTTCCAATGAAAATTGATCTAAACAGGTGGTGGGCCACATTTGTTTCATAGACACTAGTTCACTAATCCCTGCTCTAGGTCATTATTCTGCTCTTGACCATTATTCTCTATGGTCAAAGTCAGGTTGCTGTCACTCCAGGTTCTAGAAAGGATGAGCAAAGGGCAGAAGTCCAGGGTAAGGGATTTTCTTTTAACCAAGTGGTGCAGAATCATATAATCATTTCCACTCACATTTTATTGGTGACATTTAGTCATATGGTCTCACATCTCATTGCAAGAAAAGCTGGGAAATGTGGTCTCTAGCTGAGCTGCCATATTGTCAGGAAGAAGAGGAGAATGAATGTGTTGGTCCAGACACTTGGCATCAGGTACTTCATGGCCCACTGCAATTTGTAGCACACAAACTCTGGAGAGAGTACAGATTAGCTTGGATGAGCAATTCAGATGCCTCTAAGCTCATGGTTTTCTAATTGCAGGTTGTGATCCACATGGTTTTCCATTGCAGGCTGTTGAGTTATGAAGTCAGTTCATGGGTTGTGGCAGCTTTTTTTTTTTTTTAAAGAAAAAATAGAGAAAAAAACCCATAGTAAAACAGAACTAAAAAATAGAGTATAAAATATCAGAGTATCTTTTACATAATAAATGTAGGTATTATTTTATGAGTACTTCTGCCTGTGCACTTAGTTATGATATAAAATGTATTTCTTAAAAAAATAAAATAATATAATGTATTTCTTAGTTTGAGTCCATCAGAATGTTCAAAAGTGCTTTAATTCATAATATTTCTGATTTATACTTAAACATTTCCCTTTTTTTCTGAGTTAATATTTCTTTTTAGTCTTCGCAGGATGTTCCTAGTTAATGTTCACTAGGACATCCCTTTGCTGGATGTTCAAGCTCTTGAGTCTATCTTGGGTTTGTGCAAAGGCAAGGGACACTTTGTACAGTTAGGACAAGTGTTAGAAGTCACAGAGACATGAGGACTGAGGTATAGAGAGAAAATGAGTGGGTTTGTTTCCTAGTCTTGCCTTGAGGAATCCCCCTGGCCATGTAGGTTCTAATTGGATGAGGCCTGGGTCTGCCGGATGTAAGATCTTCAGTACATAGCACAGAGTCAAGCGTGTAACAAGAGCTCCACATACCAGTGCATGGATGTTTGCAAGGGATACACAGGTAGCTCTTGTATCTCTGTTGACTAATAGTTCAAATATAGCCATGTGAGCCAGGAAGCCCTCAAAGACCACTGGAGCTCATAGGAAGTAGTTATGGGGAAGCTGAGTTCTTGTTGTAGTTCAAAGTGGAGGAGAAAATATGGGAAGGCAGGTTGTGGGCTAGGCCTGAGAAGTGGAAATCTGACAATAATTCAGAAAAGGAAGGCCCAGTGCAGATGGCAGTGCATGACTACAGTGCTCAGACACATTTTCTGGAGGGGCAGATTTCTGTGTGGCTGAAACAAGAGTGGATGCAGAAAAGTAGAACAGTGTAGTTGGAAGGAGTGGGGATTAAAATGCATGTAGAATTAAGATTGTAAGTGGAGAGTATTTATTTATTTACTTATTTTTTTACCTGCAGATGAAGAAGGAAGCTTAACAGTAAAATCAAGACCATGAAAATATTGTTGCTGGGGGCTGGCTAGTTTCCTAGGACTGCTGTAATCAAGTATTGCACACTGGATGGCTTAAGACCATAGACATTTATTCTCCGGAATACATTTAATGTTTGGAGACCTGAAGTCCAAAATCAAAGTGTAGGCAGGGCAATGCTCTCTCTGCGGCTGGTTCCATGCCTTTCTCTTAGCTTCTAATATTACCAGCCATCCTTGGCATTCCTTGGCAGTCCTTGGCTCGTATGTGTCACTCCAGTCTCTGCTTCCATTGATACAGTGTTCTCCCTGTGTGTCTGTGCCTTTCTTATAAGGACACTAGTCATATTTGATTAGGGCTCACCCTAATTAAATATGACCTCATCTTAACTTGATTATATCTGCAAAGAGGTCATACACACAGGTACCAGGTCTTAGGACTCCAATGTACCTCTTTGGAGGACACATTTCAACCTGCAACAGGTGTTTAGAATGGCTCTGCAATCTCATCTCATTATTAACACCAGCAAGTTCTGGGGGCTGCTCTGCCTTATAAAAGAAACTTGATTGACAGAATGTTTGGATATCTTATTGGGGTGGGTAGGGAAGCAGGATAAGATGCAATATCCTGAACAATGCACATATTCTGTCATGGGTGAGGACTGGGCCATTGATTGATCTCAGGAAGGCCACTCCAACTGGCTTGGGCCTGGATTCAAGCAATGCTTGAGCTATCTATCAAAAATGCTACCCAGAGATGAAGAGATGGGCATTGTCCTTTCAATTCCCTTGGATGTCCATTATCCCATTTGACCTTATGCATAATAGAAAAGAGATCACTTTCCAGCATATTGCATCACATCATTACAAAGGCTGAACAGAGCAATTAAAAAACTAAATGCAGTTTTATGACCATCTGGGTATTGTTACCATCTTCATAATCATTAGATTTAGTGCAAGAGATATATTAATTAGTGGCATGAGAAGCAGAAGGTAAAAAAGTGTATTGTATATGGGAACTTGTGGTCAGCACCATATGCATTTTAGCTTAGCCTCAGAAATATCAGTAATTTGAAAAAAAAAAAAAACACTTCCCTGCAGTTTTTAAAAATAACTTTTTTTTTTTTTAAGTCTGCTTCTTCTTACCTCCAGTCAATTGGTGAGCCCTTCCCAGCCTGCACAATCCATCAAAGAAAGACAGTGCTGGGCATTGTTGTACCTTTTTAATAGAAATGAGAAAACACACCATAGCATGAAATTTAGAGACTTGTAGAGAAAATAATACATAAGCAATGGTGGAAAGAGAGGCATGTTTCAGTTTCATGGGGGAAATCATTTCCTTTCCCTTGAGTGAGGAAATCAGAGAAATATAGAACATATGAGCTGGAAGGAACTTACTGATCTAAAAAAAGCTTAGGAAGGTTGTTCCAGGTCCCCTTAAAAAAATTCTTGGTTAATGTGTTTATGTGACCTTTCAGATTTCTTATAGAAAATATTTTTAAAGATTTCAGGATCTATCAAAGATCATGGGCCCTGAGAACTGAGAGCAATCCTTACTCATAGAACCTCATTTTCCCTTATAGAAGCCAGTCTTTATGACCAAGCAGACCTAGAGCATTCTTCATCCTTTAAAAAAGATGCCACAGCCATGTCTCTCCTAGTGGCTGGCCACCACAGCTTTGGCACCATTTTTGTCAAGTGGAAATGTTTATAGAAAGAAATGATTTGGTAATGCTCAGTAACATTCTATTATTTCTCCATAGCAGCTTTAGACTTTGTGTGTGTGTGTGGGGGGGGTGTTCATCTCCTTGGGAGTGATGTTAGAATTCTCTTTTTGACACCACCTTGAAGTCTCTGGATAAATTACAGAGTAGATTCTTCCTAAGTATCAGAATCAAAAAAGCCAGTGGCATTCAAACTTGTTTGACTGTGACCGTAGGGGGAAACCATTTGATAGGTGGTTCAGTACATGTGTTTCTCTCTCTCTATGTATATCTACATTCCCAAAGCAAAAGTTTCATCAAACGATACAAACTCATCTAATTGTGAAGCATTCTGACATTGACTGCTCTACTTCATTAAAAGAAAAATTCTGATCATGATCCAGCTGGCAGATTGAGAAACATTGTGAAAAGGGGCACCCAGTTTCAGTTGTTCCACCATTCAGATTAGTATCTGTAGAGTAGGAAACATTGCATTCTTATTTTAGATATTGATCTTAACATTTTCTAGAGGGCCAGAGGTTTAATAGATTCCTTCTGGTAGGTTGCTAAGAAAGTCTGCACCTTGGATCAAGCTCTACTGAACCCTCTGTCCTGGCCCATATCATGTTATCCAGGGCTAGGTAACTTGCATAGCACTGAAACTTCTTGCATAGCACTGAAACTTCTGAGGGCCTATGATATGCCTTATGCAACCAACATATGTTCATTATATTGAAACAATTTATTTGGTCTCTTTTAGGTTTCTTACAGAGCTCAACACACTGGGATGTTGAAGATTGTGTCTCTGATGGTGGCAGTCTGGGTGCTGGCCTTCTTAGTGCATGGGCCAATCATTCTAGTTTCAGAGTCTTGGAAGAATTCCAGTTTCAGAGTCGTGGAGGAGAAGGATTGTGAACCCGGATTCTTTACCAGGTGGTACATCCTCACCATCTCGTCATTCTTTGAATTCCTTGTCCCAGTCTTCTCGGTGGCCTATTTCAACATGTACATATACTGGAGCCTGTGGAAGCGTGGCAATCTCAGTCGGTGGCAAAGCCAGCCCACACTCACTTCTTCTGTCTCTTCCAGTAACTGTGGATCCTTACTTAGGGGTGGACTGTTTTCAAGAACATCTCTTCCCGAACAGAAGGAAACAGCACCATCTGTTCCTTTGAAAAGACATGAAAGAAAGAGCAATGTCTTGCTTTCTTTAAGAGCCCAGATGAATAGCAGTATAATTACTTCCAAAATGGCTTCCCTCACCCATTCTGATTCCCTGTGTCTTCACCAAAGGGAACATATTGAACTGCTTAGAGCCAGGAAATTAGCCAAGTCACTGGCCATTCTCCTAGGTGTTTTTGCCGTTTGCTGGGCTCCCTATTCTTTGTTCACCATCATTCGTTCAATTTACCCACTAGAACAGCGTCCTCAAATAGTTTGGTACGAAATCACATTTTGGCTTCAATGGCTCAATTCCTTTGTCAATCCTTTTTTGTATCCATTGTGTCACAAGCATTTCCAGAAGGCTTTCTTGAAAATATTTCATATGAAAAAGCCATCCATACCATCACAGAATCGGTCAGTGTCCTCTTAAAGATAATTTTATCATTAACAAAAATTTTAGTCTTAATCTCACCTACATGAATTTGATCTGACTTTCATTTTCATTTCTTCCCTTTCCATGCTACCAGGAAAGTCCATAAAATTGTAACACTTGAAAGTTTTTAAAAAAAATTGGAGCCTGGAAGTCAAGGGAAAATTATTCCGGTGAATAATAATAGTACAATTAGAAATAGATGACAATGTTTTTGTAAACTCCTAGCCACAAATGCACTGTACTTTTCAGACTCATTGCCTCTTCCTTAGCTTTAAGATCTTTTTTTTTTAAAGATTTTTTATTTATGTATTCATGAGACACACACACACACACAGAGGCAGAGACAGAGACAGAGACAGGGGAGAAGCAGGCTCCATGCAGGGAGCCTGATGTGGAACTCGATCCCAAGACTCCAGGATCACGCCCTGGGCCAAAAGCAGACAATAAACTGCTGAGCCACCCAGGGATTCCCCAGCTTTTAGATCTCGATACAGCATTGATTGTGAAAGTTAAGAGTTCTTGTTTTCTTTCAACAATCAGTGTTTGCTATAGTCTCCAGTGAATTTCCCTTTTTATTTTATAATGATGAAAACTTGTCAAGTTTTTAAGTCATTTTTTCCTAAAGTATACAATAGGAAAAGGGGCTCTATTGCTTTCTCGCTGAAGGTGGACAACTCTATTATGATCAGTGGGCAGACGTGTTGGGGCTTGAGTTGTCAGAAGCAGGGAGTGAGGCTGTGCCCAGACGGAAAAGTGGAAGGTATGTGTACTTCTGGACTCTATTTATGTTCCTGATCCCAGAAAAGAAGGAAATGTGGGGTGGGAAGGGCAGGTAACTGCAGCTCTCAAAGGTCCTCAGTGCAGTTATTTGGGAGGCTCAGTGATTACTGGTTGAGAGAGTAAGGGGCAGACAAGATTACCATCTGGTTGAAAGGACAGCTTTCCTTTTTTTCCTTCCTGCCCTCTTCTTCCAACTTCCATGTTGGCTAAAACCTCTGTGAGAAAATATGGAAGAAAGAGAAAGGCTAAGAGATAACAAAAAAGATCATGTGATTAAACCTGAGGTACCTGGTATAACATTCACAGAACTACTGGGTGTCAGTAATTATTAATAAAATATACCTTCTGTATTTATTTGATGTCTTTAGTATATGTGCAGAGCTCAAGTGATTCCTTTATATGCAGTTTGTGTTGATTATATTCTGCCGATGAGTCACATTTTCTTAGTCTGGTGACATTTCATTCTTTTTGTCATTATTAATTTTTCTTCTTCTTCCCCTCCTCCACTTGCTTCTCCTCCTTCTTGTGTTCTTTGCCTGCTTTGTCATAACATTGCATTTGGATTTCATGGTTAATTTCATCTCTCACATAAGGTTTTATTAGTGTTTCTTTTGTAAGTTCTCAGAATTCCTATATGGTTTAATCATTTTCATATTTTTTGGACCTTTGAAACCTTGGTTAATTTCAAACACTAAAATGTGAAAATCCTGTAAGTACATTAATGATTAGATATGCCCATAATTTTTATATATACTTATGCCTTGCATGAAGTCTAAAATAGGAGATACACATTGAACATTTAATAGTAATCTTGAAAATTTGAGAAATAAACCCTTGTAAATATGCAGATTTTTATAAAGTTGTCACTTGTCAGCTATTGTTTTTGACATTTAAAAATTAGGAGTTGTGGATTTCATATGAATGCTGGAGGCTTGAATGTTCATTGAATGGTGAGGCCCTATGAAAATGTTTTCTGGTTGAACCCTAGCAGAAACATGCCTAAATATTCATATGTATTTTCTAAAATATAGAAAATATAATATACATTGTATTTCATTCAAAAATGTCATCACTATAAAACACAATACTGTTGCCTTATTTATCACTATAAAAGAAAACACAGCAAATTGTCTATGAAAAATTACTTAAAAAAAACATTGTTAGGAAGTCCCATTCTATTTTAAAATTGTTGAGAGGCAAGCAATATATGTCTTGGAAGTGATGAAGTATGATACATTTAAGATGAATGAACAGAATAAGGCTAATCCTTTGTGAAATGAGAATTTGACTAAATAAATACTTTTGATGGAACATTCATGTATTCATTCAACAAACATTTTTTAGGGGTCTATTATGTGTTAGCTACTTATTGTAAAGATGCTTGTGAACCTTGCTGATTTAGATTCCTTGGGGTAGAAATTTTACTTTGGGGTTCTCTTACTGTGATAGCACCCTATAGGTCCTCAGTGAATATTTATTGAAGGCATGCATTAGGCATTTTTGTAAAAATTAAATATAAATCCTAGATTTAAAATCCAAACCTTTAAAATTTGCCCTGGAGGAACTTTAAAATATGTTTTTCATAATAAGAAAAGTAATATGTATTAATCATAAAAAGAAAAAACAATAATAAAATAATTCCTATACCCAAGAAATAATCATAATTATTAGTTTGGTGTAGGTATTTCTAGGGGAAATATATATATATATAATTCCATTTTGTAGAAACACGTGTTTATAAATCTAAACTTCATACAATCTCCTTGGTTAAATTTTGCCTTAAAATGAAGGCTCTTATTCTAGTATGATAATCACTGTCTCTCTCCCACAAATGGATCTGGCTTATAAATACTTATTAAATTTTAAATAAAAAAATATTTCATTTCAAATTGATTTAAAATACTTCAATACTTAATTTAAGTATTTGTATTTTTATTAAATTTTATGTATTTTTAAATACATATTTAAAAAATTTAAAATACTTACTAGCTCATTTTAAGTTTAGGCCAACACCACTGGTATCATTGTCAGAACATTCCTTAGACTGTTGGTTCCTAAGTATTGGCTTCAGTTGGCCTGTTTAGAAATAGATTCAAGAAGAGTGAAGACAGAGTTAGGGATATACATGCCACGTATGACACACTTCAGGCCTAGTCTTTTTATGAATCATGAGGGCTTTGATGTGAATAACAGAATAATCTTAACTGTTTTATAGAAGTGCTTTTTGTGGCTGTTTGGTAACTACTCTCTTGTAGCAAGGATCTTGGCATTTAAAGAGATTGTTTTTCACATTATAATTTCAGAAAAAGAAATTCTAGCATACAAAATGAACTTTTTGTTTTAATGATTATTACCAGTCAGGGTTGAGTCAAGAAAACAAGCCATGTTCATTATTTCAAACATAAGGAATTTTTTTTTAAAGATTTACTTATTTATTCATGAGAGACACACACACACATAAGCAGAGACATAGGCAGAGGGAGAAGCAGGCTTTTTGCAGGAGCCTGATGTGGGACTCGATTCTGGATCCCAGGATCACAACCTGAGCCGAAGGCAGCCACCCAACCACTGAGCCACCCAGGTGTCCCTAAACAGAAGGAATTTAATACACAGAATTGGGTAAATGCAGGTTATTGGAAAGCTAAACAAGGAGGAAGTAGATGTCCACAAAGCCAAGACATAATAACGTAAGCGAGCAAGAAGTATATGTCAACAGAGCCCGGACATAATAGCTTAAAAGAGCAACTACCATCTTTGGGAAGTTGGAAAGAAATGAAAGAGAATCAAAGAGAATCTGAGATCCCAGAGGACCGAGCTTGGAGCTCTGACTGGTGCCTCATGCCCAATAGTTAAGGCTTGGACAGTCCAAGGGGTGGGGCCAGCTGGTGCTCAGAGTTCATGGGGGTAGGGTTGGATACTTACTTTCATTTGTCATCTCCAGTTACCTGTGGTTCCCTTCGGCATGGGAATTGCAACTTCTGCTCTATACGTAAAATGGAAGAGTGATTCATGAAGTAAGTTTAGTGAGTACCCAAAAAGGACAAACATGGCCTTTTCTATTTGAAATCTTACATTCTGGGGCTCTTTCACTTGGATTCCTTAGGTTACAAGTGACAGAAACACAATGCGAACTATCTGGGCCAGTGTCAGCATCTTGGTTCCCATTGCCAAAGAGCAGAAAGACAATGATGGTAGAGAGTTCAGTGACTCTGTGAAAATTTCATTTTGTATGGTGGCTTCTCTCCAAGGCTGGGATAATGAAAGCTCATGTTTTTGATCAGCTAGAGAAAGGGCCTCTCCTAGTAACGATGAGAAAAAAAATAGTGGAAAATATTAATTGGGTGTCATGGTTATCTTGTGTTAATAACTTGGGACCATTCCCTGCAGCAAGGAGTAGATACTAGTACTGTCCTCCTGGGTTGGTTCCTTCTTCAGACTAATGTCTGTGGCAGGGAGATAGGGTAAGCCCATTCAAACTATGTGATCTGGAGAGGGAGAAACAGTTTCCTTAAATAAAGAGAGGTATGGGTACCAAAAGAAGAGGGTAGAGATAATAAAAGTTTACTCCAAGGGCTATTAAAAAATTGGGGGTGTCGTGAAGGTCTGATTGTCTTCCCTATACATGTGTACGCCTGCCCAAAAGGAGACAATTTTCTATCCCATCCTGTATCCTCACCCTTTGCAATGTGACTTTGTAGTTCTTCTTATCAAGAGGGACTTGCTGTGGCCAATAAACTACTGCTAATAGGCAGCGGAAGCGACCATGTCAGTGTCAAGCCTAGGTCTCAAGTGGCCTGTGCATATCTGTTCTATCTCTTAGAACTTTGCTCAGCTGCCAGGACACACACCCAGGCTAGAATACTAAAGGATGAGAGACCACGTGGAATAGAATCAAGCTGTAGTAGCTGAGCTTATCTTAGAGCAGCTGGTCCCTGGCTACTCAGCAGCTGATCGGAGATGCATGGGCAAATGCAGACTAACCCAGACCAGCTGAAAGAAGCCTAGTGTGACCAGACCAGAAGAACCACTCAGCTAATTCAGAGACTCTTGAGCAATGGCAAAACACTGCATTTTAGGAGTGACCTGTGTTCAGCAATGGCTAACTGACATGTCAAGCAATTTCCCTCCTGTGTTGATTTCAAGAGAGATGTAGATATTTCCATAACTCATTCTTTTGTGGGAACTGAGATAAGAAGTGTAAACATTATTATGTAATAGGACATTTTTTTTAGACCACACCTACTTCCCCACAGGAACATAGTTATTGCAAAATGATTTCGTTTGCAAGTATAATTGATTTTGCAACATCATAAACTATACCACAAAACAATTTTAGGGTAACTGCACCCATGAAAGTAAAGTTGCTCTCTGGGGATAGAAGAGAAAGGGCATCACAAGTTCCCACAAGCTGTTCTTATCTCCTTCAATTTCTTTAAGTTTCTATCTTAAATCAGGTACTGAAACCTAAGGACTGGTTATGGGGTTTGATTAAATAGTCTCTCTTTTTTGGATGCTTTTCTCCTCGCTCATGCCTGTAGGCATATATTTCTGGGCATAAACTTCTAGTAGGAAAGAAGAGGAGGAAGGAGAAGACCTTAAACAGAACCAGCCAGTCTGGTTAGTGATGAGTTACTCTATGAAAGATGAGTGGAAGCTGAATTTATCTCTTTCAGATTTCCATTCTGCCTTTCCCCACTGTCTTACCACAGACTACAAGGATTTGGCCAGAAAAGGAAACACCCTGCAGAAAAAGTTGAGGTAACAGCCAGAGCCTAAGGGAGTTAACCTTGACCAGACAGGGCAGGTTAGTTTACCTGCTGAGGTGTTACAGAGCCTGACCCATCCAGTGGAAGAAAGTACCCATCTCCAGCAGGCTGTTGTTGTCCTGGCCCATTTAACAGTGGAGGAAAAAAACAAAACAAAACCCAGAAGCACTTATGAAATTCAGTCCAGAGTCAAGGGCTCACTAAAAGACCCAGACCTAATCACAGGACTAACGAACACTTCCCTTCCCCACACACCTCACTATCACATTATAAAGGTCACAGCTGCTTTTATTCAGTATATCCATCAGAAAAAAAATTACCTCCAAGGTATAACAAAAGGTGAAAACCACAATTTGAGTAGATGGAGCAAACATCAGAACAAGACCTGGCAGGGATATTGGAATTATCAGACTGGGAACTTAAAATAAGTATGATGAATATGCTAAGGGCTCTAATGGATAAAGTAGACAGCCTGCAAGAACAGATGGGTGATGCTAGCAGAGCAATGGATATTGTAAGAAAAGTTTAGGCAACTGTTGAAATATTTTTCTGACATTTGGAAAATCTAAAACGTTTTATGCTTTGGCTTCAATAGAAAGGCCTTTATCAGGTCCTTCTTAGAACCTGGAAGACAAAATG